AAGTTGATATATCCAGATTTCTTTTCAGTTTTCATAGTTTCGATTTATAAGCGTGTGACTCGAAACAATGTGACGCCAAACCGTCTTTCTTAGTTTAAGTGTTAGAAAGTATTGTTAGTTAGCCTAAGCTATCTGAATCTTTTTTCATGGTCGACAGACTTGTCGCGAAAAGGTGGCCTCCAACATTCAGTTTCAGTATCTTCGAGAAGTGAACATGTTCAAGTTTCTTCGCCACGTCATCTGACGCTTCCCTTTCCTTGTGAACTTTATCCGCCTTTGTTCGCTTTATAATGTCGTAAAGGCTTTCAACGTGCTTGCATACCGCCTCAAAATTTGCATTGCTGAGTAAATCGCGAACTTCTTCCAGCTCTCGTGGGGAAGACATATTTTACTAAAATAAAACAGCACACTTAAGCGTGGGAGTTTTTAGATAGGCAGAGTGACCGTGGACAATGGCTTCCGGGAATGTGATTGCACAGAAAGATGTTTTATTGTTTTATTTTGAGATGTTTTATTGTTTTATTTTAAGATGATTTATTGTTTTATTTCGACGAAGGTATTACTTGAGTGGTCACGTGACCCGTAGCATACCATATTTCATCAAATTACCGCCCACGCCTTAATGAGCGCTCTTCCCCAGATGAGCACTCGCCCCCGGGCTATCAAACAACTGCCCCCCTTGAAGAAACGCCTCCTCCCTCACTTTCTCAAATAATACTGAGAGATACAAGAAAAACCTGTTTCTATTGCTCCTTTATTTAAACTTTTTTAGCTTTAACTGCAGCGGGATCTACACTAGAGATTAATTTCTAATCCGTTCCTGTTATTTCTATCTCCATGTGCTTGCATAGTTCCTTCATGTGCGTTGCCGGTTCTTCTAATTTTTGTCCTGTTGCTGCGTTAACTTATTAAGATTATTATTACTTATTATTATTATTATTATTATTAGTTATTATTATTACTTATTATGTTTCTTCGATTAGGCCCAGGAGAGCCAGAAAGCTCACAATATCATTTTGTTAGGGTAGAAAGCGTGGACATAGTAAAATATAATATAAGAAAGAAGATAAGAATGGTTGAAAATCACAACATCGAAAAATTTACCTTAAATTTTTACAAGAATTGTAAACCTTTGCTACGCGTATGTTGATCTTTGTTACTCTAACATAG